AATATAAATGCTTCGGACAAGATCTATGTCCAGGGAAGATCCATCCCTCAATATAAATCAACCGCGCTCACTAGGGGTGTGTGCAGACTCCGGAGGAGCTCCTTCAGCCCAAGCGCTATAATCCGCATGGACAACTCATGTGTTGCACATACAACTCACGTGTTGCACTGACAACTCATGTGCTATAGTATCAATATCAGGATCCGCACGGACAACTCACGTGCTGCACGGACAACTTACGTACTATAGTATCAATAACCTCACAATCAGGCACTCGGCCTCACTCAGTCATCAAACTCTCCAGTCCCTCGGGCTCACAATATCATGAAACTAGACCAACAATGATGATATGATGCATCAATAAATAGCAACAGAGACTGAGATATGATATGAAATGAATGAACATGATTGAGTATGAAATTGCAATTTAAATAAATAATTCAACAACAATATGACCTCAGTGGGTCCCAACAGAATAAGCATGAAGCCTAGACATAGTTTCTAACATGGATCACAGCTCAATAACTCTAGCACGTAGAGATTTCATGGTTACATATAAGATCGGGTAACTACACAATACCACAGGGATAACGGAGTCACAATTCACACGCTGCACGCCCACACGCCTGTCACCTAGCATGTGCATCACCTCAACACCAAACACATAACACGTAATTCAGGATTTTATACCTTCAGTACCAAGTTTAGAAGTGTTACTTACCTCGAATCCAGCCAAATCCAATATCGAGCGGGCCAAACGATGCTCCAGAAATGCCATCCTGCGCATACCATCCTCCGAATGGCTCGAAACTAGCCAAAAGAAACTCAAATACATCAAATAATGCCAAAGGAAATAAATCTATCGATAAATGTTGAAACTTTAATCAAAAGCCCAAAATCATCCAAAAAGTCCAACCTGGTCGTGTACTTCCGAACCCGACAAAACTCATAAAATTCGACAACTCATTCAATTACGAGTCCAACCATACTAGTTTCACTCAAATCCGACTCCGATTCGATGTTCAAAACTCAAAAATCACTTTACGAAACTTTAGGCTAAAACCCCCAATTTCTCTTTAAAATTCATCAACCAACTATCAAAAATGAAGATAGATTCATGAAATAAAATCAAAACCAGTGTAGAACACTTACCCCAATCCTTGTGATGAATATTGCTTCAAAAGTCCCCTCAATCCGAGTCCCACATCTCAAAATATGATAAAAGAACCAAAACCTCAAATTAAATAGAGTCTGCCCAGCGAATTCCGCATTTGCAATCAAATCGTCGCATCTGTGACCCCTGCTTCTGCGGTAAACATTTCATTTTTGCGAAGAACCCCTGAACCAACAACCATCGCTTATGCAATCTCCTACCCGCTTTTGCGATCGCGCTTCTACGCACAATGAACCGCATCTGCAATTGCGTAGGTGCGCCCATGCACCCGCACCTGCGATCCTCACGCCCAGCTCCCTCTTTACGCTTCTGCGATGAAGCTTCTACTTTTGCGGCTACGCACCTGCGCCCATGGCTTCATAGATGCGGTCACACCAGAACCTCTGCCAAACTAGCCTTAGCCAAAAATTTTAAAATGCTCTGAACCTCGTCTGAAACTCACCCGAACCCCTCTGGACCCCGTTCGAATATACCAACAAGTCCAATAACATAATACAGACCTACTCGAGGCCTCAAATCACGCATAACAACATCGAAACGATGAATTGCACCTCAAATGAAACTTAATGAACTTTGACTATTCAACTTCCATAATTCATGCCGAAACATAGCAAATCAACCCGAAATGAACCCACATTTTGCACATAAGTCCAAAATGACATAACAAAGCTATTCCAATTCCTGAAACCACAATCCGAATCCGATATCATCAAAGTCAACTCCCAGTCAAACTTATGAACTTTCCAAAACTTCAAATTTTCAACTTTCGCCAATTTGTGTCGAAACCTTCGAGAAACATCCAAATGCAAATCCGGGCATATGCCCGAGTCCAAAATCGCTATCCAGTCCTAACGGAACCATCAAAACTCCAATCTGAGGTCAAATGCTAAAAAGTCAAACTTGATCAACTCTCCAACTTAAAGCTTCAACAATATAAGTCATAATACACCATACGAAGTTACTCATGCCCTCAAACTACCGAGCGAAGTGCAAATGCTCAAAACGACCGATCGGATCGTTATAAATTTTAACAATCTTGATCTTGATCTGAGTACCTCTAAAGTCCTACAACAAGCTTGGAAGTATAACTTCTCCACCGAAACAAACCCTCTTAAAAATTCTAAGATTAAAATAGATATCAAATGCTAAAGCCTCATCACAACACTGTCAAGCTTAACATCGACAGAGCTTTCTTAAAAGCTACTCTACAAGCAAGTATAGGAGGAGTCTTTAGAAATAACAATGGTGATTGGATTATGGGCTTTTATAAGTCATGTTATGCAATGACCTCATTGTAGGCGAAAATGCTAGCATTGGAGCAAGGATTAAAAATAGCAGCAGAGATGATGTTATCTCAAATAGAGATCGAAACTGTCTCCTCATAGATGATCAAGCTGTTAAATGAGAACAACGATTTAGCTAACAACATTTTGCTCAATTGCAGGTTATTAATGCACCAACTAAGAGCCCCAACAATCACACATAACTTCAGAGAAGGAGACGGAGTAGCACATCAACTAGCAAAGGAAGCCGTTAATCACTTCAAGCCTACTAGATGTGTTTACCTTGCTCGTCTCCCACTTTTTGTTGAACCTGAATGTATACTATATTAAAAGCACAAAAGCCCTTAGCGAAATGTCGTTCGTCATTTTTACCTCTTAGAAATTGATTTTACACTAGATAAAATAGTCATTTAATTATTTTTCCTAATATTTAGATCTTTGAAATTAACTAAAACTTAGTTATTAAAATCTTTTCTTATTTGAATTAGGCAAAGATTCCTAATATTTAGGACTTCAAAGTCCAATAAAACTTAGCTTATGTAATTACAGTATCTTCGATACTAAACGTTTTATTTGTCAAATAAATTGTTAGTATTAAATAACGTGAATGAAATAGTGGAGGTACTAATTTCTTGATAGCATAAATCAATTGCTAATTGAGGTCAAAATAAGTACAATACAGAAATATAGATAGTTAAATGTCATGATATCAATTAATGTTGAATAATTTGTTCAATAGTCAATTTCACATTTCTATGTTATATGTGAACTATCTTTCACTTAAGTAATATTTTTTTGTTCATCTTTTTATAACTACATTTATATCTGTATCTATATTTATACTATATTAATATTAAAAGCACGAAGACCCTTAACGAAATATTATTCACTTTTTTTACTTTTTAAAGATAAATTTCACATTAGACAAAACTATAATTTGATAATTTTTCCTAAAATTTAGGAGTTAAAAAACAACTAAATTTTAAGCATTAAATCTTTCTTTATTTGAATTAAGCAGAAAGTTCTAAAATTTAGGACCTTAAAATTTGTTAAAGATTTCAAGTTACATGTATCTTTTCCTTATTTGAACCCTTCCACGTTAAATCTTTTAGTATTATAACTTTAGAAGTATTATTTTATTTATTAAAATATAAAATTAGTTGAATTAGCAGGAAATCAACAAATAGGTGAAATTAGTTAGGAATTACGGGAAAGAAAAGAAAGCACACGAACATATTATGGAGTAAGATTATACGAGAAGGAACATACGATAACAGTTCATTTTGGAACAAAGTCTATTTCACGGTTCAACGTTTTCTTTAATTATAAATTGAATACTTAACACAATCACGTCGAACAAATTATTTTCCCTTTCAAAAGGAAGATTTTGTTCATTGGTTTTTGTAAGGCATTATTTTAAAACTACATTGAATAATTAGAACAAATAAAAATATTTAAGAATATAAAAGAGAGAAAAAATTGTTGGCAAGAATCAATAAAAATAAAGATTCAAAAGAAAAATGTCAGATCAAATTTTCTATTCTTTGAGAGTAGAATGCTTAGTAGAAAAAATTATAGTTGCAGTTAATTTTTTTTTTTGTGATGAGCTAATATTTAAAATTCGAATAATGAAAAAAAAGTTATTACATTTAATGTTGAGGAAAAAATAATCAAGTGTTTAAATAAGTTACCTTTAATTTTGAAAAGAAATAACTAAATCTTTACATTAACTAATTAGCAAAAAAAATTAATTTAGTTCTTTTTCAAATTCATCATTTGAGTAAAATTGTTTTTCAATTAACTAAACTCTTAAGCATCTAAGAACTTTTGTGGTGCAAGATTTTTTTCTTTTCTGAGATTAAATATATTATTTTATACTCTATTCATTTCAAAAAGAATAACACTAAATATTTTTTAGTTTGTTTAAAAAATTAATAATACTTTTAAATTTAAAAATAATTAAACATGAATATTTTATTTTTTCCTTAATGACAAACTTTTATAGCCACTCAAATATTATGGTATGTGCAAGATCACAAGTTTAAAAGTATTCCTTTCCTGCTTTCTTAAATTCTGTATCCAGTTAAACTAAATTAAAGCAGATGAATAATATTAATCTAATCCTTTAAAGTTTTGTATTCATTGATATGGTTACACGCGCACCCTAAGATTAATTATATAGAAACAAGCAAGGGTTATGTAATGGTACTAAGTATTTACCTGCTAATGTTTGTAGTAGTCTCGCTGCTGTAAACAATGGCAATATACTACGGGATTATGTTAGGATTATGTAATGTTTTTATTTAAACCAATATAAGCTTCCTTTTATGTTCAAAAAAAAGAGAAAAAAATCACCCAGGTCCTTGTAAAATGACGATTTAAAAGAGAAGCCCAAACCTTTTGAATATTGCAAAGTCCGCCCCATCAAAATCAAACGTGGACTGCCTCCTAGCTGGAATCCAACGTGTCAACCCAACATTGGCTCACTACATGTGTAACGCAAACAGAAATTAAGAAACCCACCTCACTAAAATACGCAGCAGTGCACACTCTCTTATCCTACACCCATCTTCTCCACAAAAAAGTTCCAGATCAAAACCTCCAAAAACCCTTTAAAAATAAAAAATTTGCTCAACATTTTCCTGCAGTTTCACTGTCTCTAAACCCACGCGCTAATGGCGGTGCGTGCAACAGTTAGCCGGTTTCCCGGTGACCAAGACGCACTGGAAGAATCAGGACTACCGTGGGGGGTAACAGTTTCACCGTTCGCCAGCAAGGACGAAAACGGGAATCCACCGGTTTATGGATCGGGCGGTCACTTATTACCCCGATGTGAGAATTGTTGGGCTTACTATAACACATACTGTGAACAAGAACAATGGGCCTGGACTTGTGCACTTTGTGGGACCCTTAACGGGCTTTCTTCTCAGGCCGTAACCCGTTATTCGCTCCCTGAATCTTGTCCGGAGAATTTATCTTCGTTTATTGACCTTGAATTGCCCAGTAAGTGTAGCACCCTTTAATGCAAAATTTGATATTTGAAGATTCCCTTTTGTGTAATTTTGGGAATTTAGATGCACTGTTTTGAATATATTTGTTTTTGGATTGGTTTAGTGGATGAATCTGAGGAAATGCAGGCGCGACCTGTGTATGTGGCAGCTGTTGATCTTGCTTGTAAGTTATTATTACTAGGATTTAAGTTATTAATCCATCAGTGTAATATAACTTAGTCGTACCATTTACTTTAAGTTAAATAGAGTTACGTGCAGTTAGCTTTTAAATGACCTGATGCATATAACTTAAACTAGTATATTATTGCTTTAATTTGATTGTGGCAGTTAAATGATGTAGGGACTATGCAATTATTTAATTTAGAGTATTGAAGGGATTTTTCTGCCTTTGATTTGCTGAAATGTTTTAAATTTCAAACGTGGTTTGTGGTAATCACTAATCTCTATGTAGTTTCCAAGGATAAATATTTTATTTTGAAGCGAAAAAAACAAGGTATCGATTGTCCCAAATCAACCCAAATTCAGTTGGTTGGTTTGTTGAGTTTTATGGGAATGGAAGTGTTGTGGTTGTTCGTGTTTATGAAGGTTGTGGCTTGTTGGGAATTTGTAGGGGATGGATGTCACAGCTTAACATTAAAAAGAATGTTAAAAGGTTTAGTTTTGGGAGCTGTATTGTTATGCCTAGAGACAAGACGCTTAGCTACAAGCACTCCTACACAGGTCTTACTTTGTAGATAATGGTGTTAAAGTGCACAAAGGGTCAGTAGCAACTCTAACCAAACAGGGATATTACAATAGATTATGCAGATGGAAAATGACAACTGAAATCTATCTTCTTGTCAGATTTCATGTCAGTTGGCCTTCTTTGTTGACACATGTATGTGTGTAGACTATCATAGTTAAATTTTATTGTCATTACTCTCACTTGGCATACATTATTTCCATTGATCTTTGAGAATTATCTTAGATTTTACATTAAGAACTGATGCATTTTGTGGAAAGTAGATGCGGAGTATGTTGCTGTTATTGATTAACAGGTGTTAAGTTCTTATGCAGCATCGGAAGAGTTTTTGGAACTTGTTAAAAGTGCACTTTTAGCTGCTTTAGAAGGTTGGTTATTGACACATCTTTTGAACATTAAGTTTATATTCTTTACTAGACGGAAGTTTAATGTTTGTTTTCTTTTGTCTTTTGATCAAGCTCTTGGGCCTGGATCACTATTTGGGCTGGCTACATTCAGCCATAAAATAGGTTTGTATGATGTTCAAGGGCCAATTCCAGTGGTGAAGAATGTTTTCATTCCTCATGATTCTGATAGTGCCCTGTCAATGGAACTTCAGGATGTCATGCCCCTACTTTCGTTTTTAGCTCCAGTATGTTTGTTTGATTCCTTTCCCAGTGCTTTTCTTTTTCTATCTGGACTGTAATGGTGTTTAATTTTTCAATGTCAAAAGGATGAACATGCAGTAGCCTTAAATCAGTGATTTGTTGTAGGTGGATACCTGTAAGGACCGCATCGCATCCGCACTTGAAACATTGAGGCCAACAACTTCATGGGAAAGGACATCAGGTGCAGGTCAAGGATTAGATGGAGTTTTTCTGGGTGGAAGAGGTTTTGGAGCTGCAATGGAAGCCCTTTTCAATTATCTTGGATCAGAATATGGAAATACGTTTGCATTAGGTATGGCAATTTCACATTTCTTTCTTTGTGTCAGAGACAATTAATGATGCACCTCTTGTTGGGTTGCTTTTTGTTACTGTAATTTATTAATTCAGGCATCCTTTTGTTCTTGCTGAATCAGCCTTTTTCCAGAATGGACAGCAAACAGAGAATCTTTCCACTGAATTAGTAGTTCCATAGTATCTTGCTTAAAGATATTACTCAGTGACTGTTTTTTTCCCCCCAATTGAATCAAAATGCAGCTAGAGTTTTTGCTTTTCTTTCGGGTGCTCCTGATATTGGAGCCGGCCAACTAGATACAAGACGGTATGGTGAGCAGTATGCTAGTAAAGGAGAGGATGCAGATCGAGCTTTACTTCCTGAACAAACTCCATTCTATAAAGATCTGGTACTAGCATAGTTCGTGACTTATTGATTTTAGCTAATTTACATTTGAACATTAAGCATTAAAATGTATTTCAATAGGCTGCCGTGGCTGTTCAATCAGGTGTTTGTGTAGACATATTTGCTGTGACAAATGAGTATACTGATTTAGCATCACTGAAGTTTCTGAGTATCGAGAGTGGAGGCTCCTTATTTTTGTATACGAGCAGTGATGACTCCACACTTCCTCAAGACATGTGAGTATAATACTTGCTATTGCTATGATTATGTAATGTATGTGAGCTTTTAAATCTAATTCATCATTAAGTTTGATCTGAAGTTTAAGAATATCCCCCCCACCCCCCACCCCCCAGAAAAGAAAAACCCCACCTACGCCATACATCCCTCAAGTTTGTAGAACTGTACTCAAAACTCCCCTGATTAACTTTTCCATCTCTATTCGACGGACATGTTCCCTGCTTGTAATGAAAGTGTCCTGCTGGCCGAAAAACCTAACTTATCGCTGAAAAAAGTACCGCTTTGGCTTCACTTCACAGAGACGTTCTGTGCAATATCCATTTGGATCTCCTTCTTGCGGAACAAGCTTTTTCTTGGTTTCAAAATTTCACCAATTTGCGCACTTAGATTTCCCCTCGCTAAGTCTTTGTTGCATCAATTAGGGATTCAAATTTGTAGGTTCAACCGAGCATCAACCATCTCTAACACCCAAATTAGGGCATGGAATCCTAAGCTCCTTGTTGATTTTAGCTCTTCCCTGTGATTGCGCATAGGTATAGGGTCTGCTGCTCCTGGATGGCTTTTTCTGGTTATTGAGTGGCTAGAATTTGCTTCTAATGTGTGTGCTTATTGCGGGGAAACAGGCATATGGCTTTTGGATTTAGCCAACTCAGAGCATTTCTAAAAGTTTCTTTTTCTTGTGTTGGGGATTAGTGGAGATGAAGTACGAATTTGGTGTTTAAGGTTAATTCTTTTTTTTTTTTAAATATAGGAGTTTCAATTTTGGTGTCCTCGCAGGATTTCAGATGGTATAATTGGTGATTTTTCATATGTAAATAATAGATGACAGTTTGTTTTGGAAGACAAATCCTCAAGTCTAAATCATATGTATACAGATGAAAGAAAAAGAAAAAGAAAGGGCAAAACCAAAAGAGAAATTAACGAGGGATCTTGTGTTAAGTTTTTGCGAATTTGAGGGATTGTGTCTATGGGATATAAAGGATGTTCGTAAGCCTTAGGTATGAATTAGGTTGAAGTCTTATCATATGACAGGTCATTTGTTGATAACTGGTTGTTACCAGTATAAAGTAACACACCAGTAATAACCATATATTTTTGTTCCAGGGTTTACGTTTGTCAGTTTACATAACACTAGAATGATATTCGTACAGGTACCGCATGTTAAGTCGACCATATGCTTTTAATTGTGTCCTAAGGCTGAGAACTTCGTCAGAATTTCAACCGAGTCATTCTGTAAGATCTCTGCTATCATTTTTATTCCACAGATTCTTATTCTACTATCTCGTTTGGCTCATAATACTTGCACTATTCCCTACAGTATGGGCATTTCTTCCCAGATCCGCAATATGAAAATGTCCAACACATAATTTGCTGTGATTCTTTTGCTACATATGCCTACGATTTAGAATTTGCAAATAATGTTGGATTTTCCAGGTAACATATCTTCTGCTTTTTGTACTCCTTTTCCAAAATAATTTTTTTGCTCATTGTTTCTTGTATGAACTGCTAATTATTACATGGAACGATGCTTGACTAAAAAATTGATGCTAAATTTATTTGCACTAGAAGAACTTTTGATAAAAGCAGTGCTATTGGCCCCTTTAGTAAAGCTACGTGCTGGTCTTAATGACACCAAATTAAATTTGTTTGTTTTCTGCTTTGGGGTCCAGACCTCAGTTGTGGGATTACACTGGGTTGGTTGGTTGGTTGGTTGGTTGGTTGGTTGGTTGGTTGGTTTGTTTGTTTGTTTGTTTGTTTGTTTGTTTGTTGTTGTTGTTGTTGTTGTTGTTGTTGTTGTTGTTGTTTTCTGCTCTGGGGCAATGCATTTTATGGGTTCCTCTGCATCTTGCACGCATTTAAGTTTTTGCCAGTTCCAGTGAAAATCCCTTGTTGAGCCAGATTTTTAATTTTGCTAATAATACAAGAATACTTTTCTTCTGCAGGCATACTTCAGAATTGCCTATGGTGCAAATTGCTTTTCAGTATACTGTTGTTGTCCCACCAGATGAACTTGCAAATGCAGGATCAAGTTCTACAACAAGGTACGATTATTCTTACTAGTGGCCTTTATGCTGAGGTGATCATCAAAGATCAAAGCTTTAAATTTATTCTTTTGTAAATATAATATTGGGTTTACTTAGTAGAACTCAACAACAAGAACCATAAAGTATGCAATTATATGTTGCATCTGGACAAGTGTCTTGGCAGTTCTGTTTTGGTTCTAGTTTAGCTTTTCCTGGTTGGGTGCTTTTTTTGTGATGAAGTAGTTTCATTGATGGCATCAAGAAGATGCACAGTTTACAAAAGATGGTAAGTAGAAAAGAGAGTTTGTTAGCTCCAGTTCATGAAGTTCTATGCTAAAGATAAGAAGCTAACAAAATCCATAAAGTCATCAGGGGTATTTACAGGGCATAGATTGCTCCAACCGAATAAACATAAAAGAGATCTAGCCTTAATGGAGTGGTTTGCAATTGATATTTCATCAAAACATATGCAGTTCCTTCTTGTCCAGACACACCAAAAAATGCATGCAGGGATCATTTCCAGATTTTCCTGATGGATCTATCAACTTTCTGGAACTCCTGCATTCATAGGCATCCTTAATACTCTCAGGCATTACCCAACTGATCTGCAAACAAGAGCATGCTCCAGATATCTGCAGCTACTGTACAGTGTAGGAGAAGGTGTCTGTTTGGTTTCTTTACTTTGGTGACACATCTAAGGTTTTAGCAGTGGATGTTTGACAAGCCACATACTATATATGGTGTTTGTACCTCTCAGCCCCAAGTAAAAGTTGATTCAATTTAAAAGTATATAAGCGAACCAATTACTTAAGACAGCAAAGGAATGATCTAGAAGTAGAGAATTCTGGAGCTAATGTCTGTCAGAATTGCAGCTTATCCTACCATTTCTTCATAATGTTGCATTCCTCTGGTTTCGCTTTACCTTTTTTCTTCTTTTTAATTCTAAAACTTTTTCTATAATTTAAAGTGCTCTAGCTTTGAGCAAGAAATAAGTTTCTTTTTTTGCTTTTCTTTTTCTGGTGGATACCCTTTTGGGATCATCTTCTATTAGATATGCTCTAAGCAGTGGATGTGTTTGTGCAGAACAAAGCATTCCCTCAAAAGGAGATTAAGGATTCGAACTCTGCAGTTTGGAGTAGCTCATAGCATAAATGAGATTTATGATGGTGTTGATTCTGAAGTGGTGCTTTCATTACTTGTCCACAAGGTATGTCTTACTTTCCTTCATACTTCACTTTAACCGAAATTCATCAGGGCTATTAACTGGAGTCTCTTAGGATTTGTCTCTTTCTATTTCGATGTGAACTTGCCAGCATTTTTCGGTAAGTTAATTGATACAAGGTGGTGTTAAGTGCACAGAATTATTATAATACAAATATGCTTTTAGAATTGTGTTGTTAAAGGCTCGTTTGAAGTGCGGTTAAACCCTGAAGTTAAGCAGATTGGTGTTTTGCCTCACTTAGGCAGTGTATAGTGTTGGCACCAAGACGCTATGGTTGCGCCTCATAGCCCATGGATTTGTTCTTGAAGAGTGAATCACTAGACAATAAACTTAGTTGAGGAAGTAATATATTATCAACTCTTGTCTATTTTATATGGCATTCTATTCCCTTTTTGGTCGCTTGAAAAAAGATTGACTCTATTTCTATATTTCGAAACTCTTTAATTTTAATATTCCTATTTTGCTCATCATACATATTTAGCTTATGTGTCAATACTTTTTTTTGATCGGTGAAGTATTTTATTGATGTAAAGCAAAATTCCAGCATTAAGGAAATGTTGATGCCAAGTACATCCAAAAGAGAACTTCACAATGGGTGTTAAGAGCTAAGAAAGTCAACTTATGTGTAACTCTTTCATTCATTCATTCTTAAACTTTGTGTTTTATCAAAAACACTGTCATATAAAATGAAAAGGAGGGAGTATATGTTACTAAAAAGTTGTAAATGAACATTTTAGTGATCGATAATTAGAACCTATAAAGTTATGTAGATAATTAGTCGATAAATCTGGATTACAATATTAACACCACAATTTGCATCCAAATAGAAAATTAAAATGATTTTTGAGCTTGATAGATACGATTTTACATTATATATTTCTTTAATTAAAGTTTTTAAAAGTTGCTTTTTGATAGCCGAGAAATTCCCGGGAGCCAATAGGTCATGATTCGAAACTCGGCAGATAATGAGCCTGCCCCTCTAACCTTAAATACAAAGCTTTTTTCTGCGGCATGGTCCGAACTCGTAACTTGTGCCTAACCCTGCTACATTTTTACCACTAGATCAAAGTCCTGAGGACTTGGTTTTTAAAACTTTTTTGCCAACATAACTGGTATTTGTGTTTATTATTTTTTTAAAGGCCAAATACATAGACAACCCCTTATCTCTGCCATATTTTTCATCTAGACACTTTAACTAAACCTATAACCTAGTGAACACTTAATATGTGTTCAAACTGTACCTATTGAATACACTTTGATGACATGGCAAGTTGTGTGTTTGTCACCCAGCTTGAGTGCGTACTCAAAATATTTAATTCCAATGGAATAATTTTAGACTTTGCCCGGAAAAATGCTCCGACGACTTCTAGCTTCTCAGTCTTCCATTTTCTTTCTCTCTTTCCCCTCAACTCACACGAATCATTTTCTACCCAAAAGCCTTAGTTTCTGACTAGATCAGTAGATCTAAAGCCTTACTTCCACTAGAGATTCATCACCGGCGACCTCCATAGTTTCAATCCAGATCCGGGATCAAAACCGAGCCCTTCCTCATACTATTTCTCTGTCTTTTTATCCCTAATCCTTTCCTAAATGCCTTTAGAAACGATTTCACTTTTCTCCATTAAACTTAAAGCTTTGATTACTTAAGACAGTAAAGAGAGCATAAGGTGGTGCCCGGAATTTGTATAGCGTGGAGGAAGTGGGTTTGCCGGTGATACCGTGATAGTTGTGTTTTTTTAATTTTTCTTATTTAATGACCTTGCCAGAAAAATGGCCTTATCAGAAAAAGTGAAGCTTAATTCGCCGGAATCCTTTTTCGGTCATCTCCCTTTTCTTTCTGATTTTGATTTTTTCCTTTTCCTTTTGCTGATGTGTCTTTGTATAATTGGTTTTACTTTCCATGTCACAGAGAATGATATTCGCGTGCCCTAAGTTATTTAGAATCGTAAAATATGTGTTCAATAGGCATAATCTGTGTATAGATCAAGTGTTTAATTGGTTATGAGCTTAGTTAAGTGTCTAGATGAAATATATGGCCAAGTTCAAGGGACTGTCTATGTATTTGGCTTTTTTTAAAGATAATTTAAACTTAATTTCCGTGTTTTTGTAGCATACACAATAGATCTTGACGCTTTTCAGGTTTTCACCTTGGACAACTCTAGAATCCCCAAGATCTGGTCAACTATTGACAGAACATGATAGTTCTTGTCTACACAAAAAAGTTTAAGTAAAGGGATCTTGACTTTATGAGTTGAGCTCTCCAATACTTCAGAAGCTTATCTATTCCTCCTCCATATTAGCTAAAAGATAAATAAAGGTTCTGTTTTTCTGATAGTGATCCTTCTTGCTTTAATTTTGTACATCTCCAGCTTGGTATTGTCTCAACTTGTGGATGTTTTGTCGTTTGCTTAAACAACAATCACAGTCCAATGTTTGGGGATCAATATGTTATTTGATCGTTACCTAACACAGCTTCTCTTTTCGACCCTCACTATGCTACACTCACAGACAAATCAGTAAAAAATTAATAACACTAATAAAAGATAATCTTACAAAAATTAAACACTCCAAAAACCTTTTGGAACAAAACTTTAAACTTCAGATTCATCTACTCCTAACATAAGAAGTCTACTCTATAAGAAGTCTACTCTATAATATGGGTGAGCAAAACCAAAAGAATCAAGATGTCATTGATAGGAGAAAACTTGTTCTCCTACCTTCTTTTTGATCTTGGAGAAATTTCCTGTGTGCTTCCGGCCCAACTTCGCTTGGCGCACAGATATGGAACTGTGGGTAGTATGGGCTGCTGCTCTTCCCTCCTCCCAACTTAAATACCATACCATGTAATGGTTATAAGCCGTGATACATCTAGTGCTAGATGCACTGTTGTCAAAGGCGCGCTTAAAGCACGCTTAAGCTCTGAAGCGAGGCTCAAAACATGTTGAGCGCTTCGCCTCGCTTTGTGGGTGCTTTAGTGTCGCATCAAGGCTCTAAGGCATACTTTTCCTTGCCAGTGAGTATAATCCTGAAAATGTGACATTAAATAATTGATATTTCGCTTTATTGTTAAAAAATTCAATTTCTTTGTCCATATATTTGTTACTCATGCTTATAATTATTAGTCTTGGACTACATATACATTTTCTAACTTTTTCTCCGGTTGCGCCTTTTTTCATTAAAGCCCGCGCTTTAGTTGCACTTTGTGCTTATAGCCCCAACGATGCTTTGTATCACTTCTTTATCGCCTTTAATGGTTGTATACACTACCAAAATCCTCTTTCTTGCGGCAACTAAGTGAGACCTACATGTACTGATTTGCAAACCTCACGAACCGTTTGATTGGTTGGAAACTAGACTTCAAAAGTCACAATTATTTCCAACATATTGAAGAAAACTCATTCTGGATGATTCCTGTTGATGCTTTGATATCAAAACCTGGCAGATTGATAGCATAATGCACGCTCATCGACAAAAATATGATAAAATGAGAGTAACTCTTGAAATGCCTCAAAACTTATTAAGTCCTAAGCTAAAAGTATTTGTAGAGTATTAGATTTTATCTTTATAAGATCAACACATCATGTCTGTTCTTGCGTATCTGTATACTACAGTAGGCCCATTAATATTAGAAGACAAAATCATGCTTTCTTAATGGAAGTTAAGTTTACTCTTTACTTATGCTAAACAATTTTCCTTTTTCTCAGGTTATTTTAGCCTCATTGGAGCAAGGTGTTCGAGAGGGCAGAATGTTACTTCATGATTGGCTTGTAATTCTTACGGCTCAGTACAATGATGCTTGCAAGCTTATTCAGTCTGGGCATGGAGGTTCAAGCATTGTTCACATTGATGTTGCATTCTCTCAATGTCCTCAACTGCAGCCTTTACCCCGCTTGGTGTTTGCTCTATTACGAAATCCTCTTCTTCGTTTACATGAAGAAGGCGTGCATCCTGACTACCGAATATATCTTCAGTGTCTTTTCAGGTATCAATATCTCCCAAGTGGGTTATTTTCTCATAGTGGACAAGACTAGAGTTTCATGTACTTTTCGTGAAAAAGAGACTAGAGTTTCATATACTTCTTTCTAGCTCTTTTATGGAATGGTGGGGAAGAGGGTGAGTAGGGGTGATATAGGAGGTGGGGTAGAGGTTATGTCATTGCAATAAACTAATTCAGCTACTGGTGATACTTGTTTTTAAGTTTCAACTGGAAGTTAGATATGCAGAATGCATTCTAGGTTAACTGTACTTGTGGAAACTAAGGGAAGGAAGAGAAAGGTAAAGTGCGAAGAAGGAAAAGAGGAGCAAAGAACTGATTCGTTTTTTGAAAGGCTGCTAGCAAGAAGCAATGCGAGAAGGGAGCTTTGGTACAAATCTGGTCCAGGACAATGGGATAAGATGGAACTACAGTTTTCAAAGTTGGGGGTTTAATATTTATGAAGGAACCATATCAGAAAGAGAATTCAAAGGCCTCAGAGAAAGAACGAGAGAGTGATCAGCAAACTTAGTCTAAGGAAAAGGGATCAGATAAGTAGCTGGGGACTGAAATACTCTTTTTGGAGATTCTGGGCCTTTGAACCCTCATGATTTTAAGGGAAAAAAATTTGGTGGGCCCAAAACGAAGCTTATCTGTCTCTTTTTCTCTCTATACTTCTTCTCTTTCTTAAACCAAAAATCGGAACGGAAAAATCGAGTACTTTTCTCTTCCCTTCTCTGCTTAAAGAAGTCTTTGCAATACTTTAAATATCTAGATGAAGGGATCAAAGCTCTTTCAAGTAGTTTCTTCAGCCTTTACCTATTTTTTAGTATGGACATGGACCTAGTGATACCCAAACCCTTTGTTCCTTTATAAGGATGCAGCTTTCTTTATTAACTTGTGTGGCCTAATAAAAGTTGATTTATCATTCTCTGGAATGAAACTTGTGTGGTATTTACATATTAATCCAAAAAATCTGGTCAAATAGAGATGGTACCTTTTTTCCCATGTGTTCTGCTTAAACATCTCTTCAACAGCTGATTGGCTTTCTTTTTTAATGGTGGTGCATACGAGAACTTTATGTTGTCTCTGGAGTAGGGACATTGTAGTTTTTGTAGCTACATTAAAAGAAGAACAGACTGAGAAAGTATGATTTTTCTTCATGTGCTCCTTAGAAACATTAGCTTTAATTGCTGGGTGCGACTCTTTTTTGCTGATAATTTTTGTGGATGATGGCTGGTAAATCTAATTGTTAACTACTTTGGACTTTTGATGCAGTGGACTAGAACCTTCTTCTCTTAATCGTGCTATATATCCATTGTTAACCTCATATGCCTCGCCAGACAAACAAGCATATCCTCGACATTCCCTGAGCCGGGCTGCACTGATTACAAGCGGCAGCCCGATATTTTTTCTGGATGCATTCACAAATCTTATTGTGTTCTATGCTTCAACAGCAGACCCTTCACTTCCTTTTCCACCACCTCAGGACTGTAAGTAACGCGCATTTTTTCATTGTTACATTAGGTGTTACTTGATCCATAGTGTGGATGCATTTTGAGATGTGCAAACGTTGATTTTGATAACCAGGTTTACTGAGAACAACAATAAACAAGCTGAAGCAAGATAGATGTATCACCCCTAAACTTACATTTATCAAGGGAGGGCAGGATGATGCGACATCATTTGAGAATTATCTGATAGAGGAACAGGATGTAGAAGGAAGTGGCTTCACAAGCATCATGGGTTTCGTTTCATTCCTTGAGGAGATTAATCAAAGTACGTTGGAATACATGAAATAAGTTGCCTCAATTCTTCTGTAACACAGGTTAGGACAGGAAGCAGGTTCCTCCAAACTTACTGTACAATTGGGCCAGAACAGTTACATCGTCTACAATCATGTACAAACACTTATATCTTAGCTTCATTCCGAGAAACTTTTGCAACGAAGGGTTACATGTAGCATCACACCAAGCGATGATTACTTACTCAGAGCAGTTTTACTGATGTCACCACCCACCACCACATCTTCATACATTTTTCTATTGCCCTACTGGTTCAGCTTCAGACTGTAGGTTTGCTCATCCAAATTTTGTACCAGAAGCTGGCTCAAACTGCCCTTTTTGTGTGGATAATTTGAATATAGAATAGATATAACTTTAAGTTCTGAGCTTGGAAATGTTGTTAAGAGTGTCTGCTTTTTCCTCATTCTTGTTGGTCATGTATTTTCCCCCCTGTGGATCTCTCTTTTTGTTCTTGTGAAGTACAAACTAGACTGAATAAACAAACTAGTCTCTTTTGCAACGAATGTTTGTGAGAAGTTAAAAGTTTTTTTTTTCTTTCCAATTTTGGAAAAAATGGTAAGTTCTGTTATTACACGAGTTAATAGCTCGAAAGATGAACTTACCACTTGGAAAAAGTGGTAAGTTCCATATGTGACTGGCCTCTTATTCCAAGGCCTGGGACAGATTGCATTAGGCTCTTAGGATCTTGCTCGAGTTCCAAATTAACATATTCTTAAATCAATTCGGAGTGATAAATCTTCAAAGAGAACAACCTTTATTAAATACATAAAAGTGACAAACAAAATTAAACTGGTGAATATGAAAATTTAACGTTTTAAAATTGACAAGTAGAAATACTTTAAACTAAAAAAAATTGAAATTAATTTAGTAAAAGAGACACCTCAAAAGTAATAAGTCTTCTAAATTTACAATTTTAAGTTTACTATTTGGAGTTTAGTTACTTGTTTCTTTGTAAAATTGATTATTTTGACAATTCTCGAGGCGTGCGCCTTCAAATTTTACCAATTCTCTTCGTTATAACCAATTGTGAAAGTTTACGAAACAATGGTTATCAAAAGCCAACCAACGTTGATCTTCAAATTTTGGGAATTATAAGATCCAGCCTAGCACTCACAACGTAGGACTCACACAAGAAGATATTAGGGTGAAATTTAAAAATAGCAAGATTTACAAGTGGTAATTAAAAAATAGCCACAGTTTCAAAGTAATCGAAATTTAGCTTCTTTTCTTGTAAAGATAAATCTAAACGAAAACACTGTTCGAAATCCGAAAAATATTCCAGCATAATAAACTGGAGTTCCAGCATAATATATTAGAGTTCCAGTATAATGTACTGATCCAGCATAATATGCTGGAAGTTCATACACAGGTGCTCCAATCTCCAGTATATTATGTTAGAACTTTTCGTGTGCCGGAGTTCCAGCATAATATGCTGAAAGTTCATACACAGGTGCACCATTATCTAGTATATTATGCTGGAACTTTCCGTATTGCAGCAAAATAGTGGGGAAGTGCACGATTAGCCACTATTTAAAGATGTCTTTATTCTTTATCTACGGTTTAGGATGTATTTACTTTTTAGCCAATGCTTAATAATCTTTTACCCGCCCGGACGAAAATACCCCTATGTTAGACATGGATGTTGTGTAAATATTAAGGACATGGTATCCTTAACTTCATGAATGCTGTATAAATATTAAGGACATGGTGTTTTTAACTTCATGAATGCTGTGTAAAATATTAAGGACATGGTGTCCTTAACTTCATAAATGCTGTGTAAATATTAAGAACTACTTGTCCTTAGTTTTTGAACTTGTAACTCTAAGTTTAGGACTACCTGTCCTTAACTTTTGAACTTGTAACTCTAAGTTAAAGACTACATGTCCTTAACTTTTGAACTTGAAACTCGAAGTTCAGGACCACCTGTCCTTAATTTATGTGCTTGTAACTCTAAGTTAAGAACTACTTGTCCTTAATTTTTGTGCTTGTAACTCTAAGTTAAGGACTACTTGTCCTTAATTTCCGTGCTTGTAACTCTAAGTTAAGGACCAAGTGTCCTTGATTTTTGAACTTCCAACTCTAAGTTCAAGACCAAGTGTCCTTAACTTATGAGTTTGTTACTGTAAGTTCAGGACTAGCTGTCCTTAATTTATGAGCTTATAAGTCTAAGTTAAGGACTACTTGTCCTTAGTTTTTGTACTTGTAACTCTAATTTTAGGACTACCCGTCCTTAACTTTTGAACTTGTAACTCTAAGTTCAGGACTACATGTCCTTAACTTTTAAACTTGGAACTCGAAGTTCAGGACTACATGTCCTTAATTTATGTGCTTGTAACTCTAAGTTAAGGACTACCCATCCTTAATTTCTGTGCTTGTAACTCTAAGTTAAGGACCAAGTGTCCTTAATTTTTGAACTTCCACCTCTAAGTTCAGGACTACATGTCCTTAATTTATGTGCTTGTAACTCTAAGTTAAGGACCAAGTGTCCTTAATTTTTGAACTTCCACCTCTAAGTTCAGGACCAATTGTCCTTTACATATCTAACTCCTTAATCTGAATTTGTACCTCTAAATTCTAATGGTATAAGTTTCTCTATTGGCCACTCATTTACTTGTTCCACTACAACCACTATTACAGAACAGAAATGTCACTAATCATAAACAATTTAGCCCCAAACAGCAAGAAATTAGATTTGAATGTAAGTACTGGTTATTTATTACTACTAGTGTTCTTTGCTTCAGAGAGTAAGTAAGATTTGAAATGCTTTTCAGCAGCATAAGTACTCAAAAGTCGAATAGAACCAACAACCAAGTAGGTAGGTGATTTCAAAGTTACGAGGCTTATCTATGAACATAGGCATGCATCGAACTTGATAGAGAGAAGCGAGGGTTTGAGAAGAAAAGCAATAGAAGAAAAGGTAAAAATATCTTTTCATATTAATTTTAATAGAGTAGTGGCTATTTTTGCTCAATATTAGAATTGCTGGATAAAAAATAAGTACCACCTCAAATAGTGGCTACCCCACGCCATTTACACCAAAATAGTGGCTATTTTTTCATGACTTTACAAAAGTTGACTATTTTTGAATTACCAGTCCAAAAACTAGCTAGCCCGTGCTATTTTTACAAGATATTAAGGTATTGGAGTGTTACAAAAGGTAAAGAATCAAGCTTGAAGCTACAATTTGTAATTAAGGCCCATTATACAATTAAGACTCATTTGGCTATTTTTGGAATAGCTTCAAGTAGCAACTATAAATAGCTAAGTTTAGGGTTGAGTTAGGAAGCTAGATTTTGATGAATAAATATCATGCATCTTTATCTCTCAATGAACCTTATTTAGATTTCCATTTTATGGATCCAATTATAAGTTCAATCTCTTTTTCTTTGGATTGACTGTCTATTCTCTCTTCTGATTTCTGTTCCCCCCTCCTCTAATTTCTTGTGTTATCCTTTTATCCTATCTTGTTTCTTTACTTGTTTATTTTATTTGCTTCCACGTATTTGAGTTTGTATCATCTTGGTATCATAGCTTGGATTAGTAATTATTCCCATAATCATGGTCTAGGATTTGATTTTATCCAATAAAAAGAATTCATAAAAAAGTTTCATTTGTTCATTCCAATGTTTTACCCCTTGCTTGTGTTCGCTATTCTTTTGAGTATGGATTTGTAGTTTGAAGTTGAATCGGATCTGGCCAATCATCTCTTAGCTGATTCGCTGAGTTGAAGTCCAAATAATACTGATTTTGGGAGTTAAAAGTTGAAGAACAATATCCATAAAAAAAAAAATCATCGTTGATACAATTTTTATATGTCAAGTCCTAATAGCTACACAGGATAGTACGTGAGGCTTGCAGAGGAATACTTAGTTTGTTAAGAGTTGGTTATGATAAATAATAGTCAGGTTGCACATTAGTCCCTAGCCTTTGTGGTTATTAATCTTTTATTTACGTTTTAGTCCTTCTCTTATTTTCCCAATATAACAATGTAATATTCATTTGGAAGGGTTATATTTATATATGAAGAATTATCTCTCTTTTCTTTCTCTGAAGTTTTTCCTCTATTCTCTCTGCAATTTTCCTTAAATTTCCCTGCAAAATGCATCAGTGGTATCAGAGTTTCCATCTTTGTACTGCGGGAACGCTCATCGATGGCTTTTGATATCTCATAAGTTCTTAATCGTTTGGATCGAATAGCTATTGACATAGTCAAATTCGAAGCGAGGCAGGACCAACTCGAATCGGTCCTTGAGAAATCATTTCGTGAGCTCATATATGAAGAGCAATTGGTTAAACCTAAAGGGTCAGTGATTATAGACAACAGAGACCAAAAGCTGTATTCTCCGACCAAGGGACCTCTCGAGTATTGTTACTCATACTTCTATCCATACCAGTTCTTCGTCATCTTTACCCAGTCTAGTTCGTTTGTTAAATCCCTTAAAACTCTGTCGACAATAGATTCTAAACCTCTGGCACTGATTTTACCTCGGCCAGCTCTTGCTAGTCAGCCACAACTCAACCCTAACCCAATTCCTGCAAATCATATGTCGCTTACCTCCCAGTATAGTCAACCTTTCTATAACCAAACTTACCTTTCCACCTCACAAATTACCCTTATCTTTGTTGACACCTAATTTTTGACCCTATTTGAATTTATTCCCACTTTTCCCACTTATCTCGTCAATACCTCACTTTCACTTTCCCTCGCCCCCACACCGGTCCCTCATCCCACCTTCTTTTGTCCCCCATTTTTCCTTGTCCCCTTTCACTTTATATCTTTCCAACTCACCCATGTTACACTCCAACAACAAGACAACTTTTACCTCTCCCCCTTTTCCTCATTTTCTTAAGCTTCTTCAACACACACATGGTCATAGGCAGCAAGGGGATCTCCCCAACTCTCTCCTCTACCCATTTTTTTCCAAATACACTCACCCTCCCAAAAATGCGGACAGAGTATACCTTCGATATACACTTGATATACCATGGGTATACACGGGCAGAACACCCCCCTCCCCAACGGATCTCCTTCTTTCTTTCTTCTCAAACCAGAAAACAATGACCTTTTCATCATCAAGACCAGCCTTGAAGCTCTAGTAATTCAGCCATCAAAAATCCGTTCAAAACACATCAAAACAAGCTTGAAAATAGCTCCGTTTTTTTTAGTCAAAACGACCTCTAAAATAGCATCAAAAACCTGTTGCAAACAGCCATAAAATCCACCCATAACACCACCCAAAATGAGCCAAAAGATCTGTTGAAATCGGCTAAAAGAAATCGGAACAGATGCGTTTGGATTTTCGTCGCAGGTCGAAGTCGCTAGTCCGGGTTTCCGTTTGAGTCTCCGTCTAGTCATTTTGTAAATATCCATAAAAACTTTGAAAATATGAGTCCAAAAAATATTTTCGCTTTTCTTTAGAAGTGCTTTTGTAAATAAATAAAAAACTCAAAATCTAAAATATTTTCTTAAAAGTGCCTCTTTCGAAAATTAAGAGGCGACAGC